TTTTTTAAACTTGATCTTGACTTCAAGGTCAATTGAAGGTCAAATCGAATTTTTAAATAGAAACAACTATTTTTGTACATATCTTGTCCGGGAGCCACCAATTCAAATAACCCTTACAAAAGTTGTTGGTTTCGGAGGGGGACATCGGATAGCATGACTTGAAAACTAAAATTGATCCAATTTTGGTTTTCAAGTCATGCTATCCGATATCCCCCTCCGAACCCAACAACTTTTGTAAGGGTTATTTGAATTGGTTGCTCCCCGACAAGATATGTATTCAGGTGCGTAATTTCAAATATTTTGTTCTTGAAATAGGGTGTATATCAGTTGGACACGGGGCAATTGGACACAGTCCAATCACAAGTCGCTGTTCCAAGGGACCCTACAAATGTCTCTAATCACACGGTGCTGTGATTGGCTGTGTCCAGATGCACCGTGTCCAAGTGCACCGCTCCCGTTACCTTCAACTTCAGATAATCGGTCACTATCTGTGTTATACTTTGGATTTTTTTTCGAATTCTCTTTTCTAGCATTTCATGACTTGTATTGTTCGTACAACACTTCGTCTTGTGACGAGTACCTTGTACATTGCTTTTCAAAATTGATGCTGCTTTCATAACTATCTATAAGAAAGTATAAAAAGGAATATATACAACAATTTATAAGAAATCATGACAGAATGTAGATGTTATGTTAATAAAATTAACAAATTATTAATGTTAAACTTTTGCATCCTTACTCACCGAATGGTCCGAATAAACATGTATAATTGAGTTCTCTCCAATCTTGCACGGTACTTGTTTCTTTATCCATTTGAAGGTAACGGATTTCTTTTCATATGGCCAACGAATAATTTTGTGACTTTTATCCACCACTTTATATCACATATTTCTGATACTGTTTGAAACCATGTGTCGGCATGAACAACATAAAACATCTGTAATTATTTTTTTAATTATACAATATTCTATGGTTTTCCAACATTTTCTGCTTTTTTTGTAATATTTAAATTTGTACTGCTACCTTCTTCAATATCATACTTTTCCAACAAACCAAAATCTTCAATATTATTATTTAAACGTCTATTTTTTTGCCATCTTGACAGTTTTTCAAATGGCTTCACTCGACGTTTCATTTTTATATATCAGTACAAACATGAAGAGAAATATTTACTTTTCTTTATTCTGTTAACTTGTACTTTGTAATTTTTCTTCTTGCTTGCTCTGTTGACAACTCTATTAACTCCTTACAACTGAGGAGCACTTTTGATGATCCTGCAATAATATTGAAAAAATCATAAAAGTATAATTACATATTAATAGAATAAATATCTGAAATTAAATAAGAATCACAGAATTGGAAAAATAGAATAATAGTATATGCAAGTATTTTAAGGTTATAGAGTAACCATTTGTACATATATATGTATAATATATGAACGTAATGGAATTATATTTACACTTTAACTTAATATTTTTGTATTCGCTTTGTAATACATTCAGATAACGTCTATTTATGAAAACAGTAATATAATTGCACACAATACATATCACAATTGTTGTCGTAGCGGGTCCAAACTTTCGCGCATGCGAGATATAACATTAGAGGATCTTTTTCAGAGGAATGTTTTCATGAATACGTTACGTTGGTTTTCATGGAATCCGGAGGATAGATAGAAAATATAATTACGATAAGAACATAAATATATGAACATTAGACATTATACATAATACTATATATGTACATAATATTATATATGAAAAAGCTATCTTAACACTTCATTCCCTTTCTTTATATTTATTAATTATATAAAACTATATAATTAATTCCATGAAATATACATAACTGTGACTAATAAGTACATAGTTATATATAAATTAAACAATTTATATATAAATATATAAATCAATTATTATGCACTCACTGGTATGTGCTAAACACAGGCGCAAAATGTTATTGTAACAAAACACTTGTAATTCCTCACGACTTCTCAGAGCGTTCTAAGAACTAAGTTGCGAAGTATTCGCTACAATGCACTTCTAAGGAATACTTCAAAACGAACTTATTGTGGTTACTTCTTCACAAACTCTTTAGATATTCATTTTTCTAATTCTCTATGTAATCTTTAAAATACATTCTTTAGGAACTTTTATTCACCTCTGTGCTAGCTTTCCATTTCTAGTACATCCATTTTTTATCTAAAAATATTTAGTTGTAATGAGTATTAAAGTATAAAAGAAATAACTCAAATAATGTTAAAAAATAGTAACATTAAGAAATGTTTGTAGAATTACATACAATTTAAAACAAACTGTGCAAACAAATCTATCTTGTTTTGTCATCAATATCCTAATATCATAATTTATTGTGGACTTGCATATGCACGAGTCATGTAAAAACAATCTTGCAAATAAGTTAAAACAGTGACTTTTTACTTTAGGATAATATTTAAAAAATATAATATATATTTTAATGGTTATATAACTCTTTAATTAAGAATAAATAAAATTTTATTAGAAAACAATACCAGATGATTTTATAATCAATAATACAATTTTACAAAATTATTATCTCGTGTATTTGTCACGGTATTGTTCTGCCTAACTGGTTGCAGTCGTGAAACCGCATTAGGGTCTGGGAGTCGATTCTGTATCTTGAAACGAAGTGAAAATTACAAAAGTGAGCAA